AACAGCTGTTTCGTGTAAAAAGATAAACATTGCGATGAAATACGACCACCACTAGACATTTTCACATTTCACTAATACCAATAAGCCGGTTGGGCCAGACCTTGTATAATTGACATCGCCCCTGGTCTTGTTTCGAATTTGGGTACCTTAGGCTCAAGGAGTACAGAGAGAGGTGAAGCAGATCGTGAAATATGGTTGCGTTAGTAATCCAAAAAATCAACGTAAACGCAATTAGTGACGTCACTAATCTAATTGCATTAAGAGATGAACTAGCCTATGGTTAAAAATCTCTTAAATGAAGATAAAAAAATCTAATTGCATGTATCGTACACGGGTTTTACTCACACATCTTAACCGACTGCTTCACCTCGATAATCCAGCTCATTGCTTTAGGGCAAGTGACCAGTTTCTGACTTATGTGTGAGTGTTTTCAATCTAACGCCCACTAATTGGTAATTGAAAGCAAATTTAGTCTGGGAGTTAGAAGGAGACAAGTCTACTGTTTACCCACAGACCCATTTCAGAATGTCTGGTAAGGTCGGACTCGATTATCCGGAGACTCGATTATCCGGGGTTCGATTATCCGGAATTTTAGACTCGATTATCCGGAGTATTTTTTTTTTGCGTTTTTTTTTTAGTTTTTATGCAGACATATGAAATAATATAGTATTCAAATATAAAATATGATTATTTTAACAATATTGGATGTAGTTAAGAGGGCTGAAAGAGGGGTTGTTTTGTATATTGAAACTCGGTTATCTGCAGTGTATATAAAAATTAATTAATTCAAATGAATATATTTATTTTATATTCATTCATAATTTGAATACAGTGGTGACCCTATTTTGTCAGCTTGTAGAATTCAATTAGTATCGTTTGAGGTGAACTGTTTTCTACACTCGTTGATGGTATATTATTGATTGCAGGACTCAATAGTGACATTCTTCGAGAATTATATTCGGAATATGGACTCTGAACACCACAGGGTGACCCTCTAGAAGATCCGGAACAACCGTTAAAGTGGTCAATTAATGAAATTGGTCTTAGAACTTCGCGATTTTTTCAATACAATAATCATGGTTAAATAAACAAGTAAAACTTGTCAGGCAACTTATTGTTTATTTAAGAATAAATCAAATTCATTCGTCCAGTAACAAAGCATGAAAAAAAACTTAACGTTTACGTTCAGTAAATCAATTTCTTTCAGGAAAAACAAAAACAACTTCTTGATTAGTGAGTAACAAAGCAAGAGATATAAAAAATAAACATTTACATTCTGTGAATCAATTATTTTCTCTAGAACATTTCTACGTACTTCTCGCAGCAGGAACTGTATTTCCAATGGAATTCCGTTTTCCTCTGTCCAAGCAATTACTTGATCGATTCCCGATTCGTCATCCACATCAACCTGGTGTGGTTCCAAAACTGATGAAGTATTTGCTCCCTCGACAGTTGAAAACGTATTTTCGCCATCGTAGAACGATGTGTTCGGGTGCAAAACGATGTTCACAATATCATCGTCGTTCAGGACGTCAAACTCCACGTGCTCTTAGGCTCTGAACCATTTGGTGGATTATTTTAACTTTTGGTTAAAATTTGACAGATGAAAAGTTATCGATTAAGGCTCTGAACCATTTGGTGGATTATTTTAACTTTTGGTTAAAATTTGACAGATGGAAAGTTATCGATTAACCCTGCTATCCGAGCGTGGTTATTTCTGACAGACAAGAAGTTAAATTTTGACGACCGTGGCTCGAAAACCGGTCGATCGACAGCACGGGGATTTTCGAACATAAGAAATAACTTTCGAAATGTCACTTTTAACTACGAGTTAAATTTAACTCGGCAAATGGTTCACAGCCTAACCCTGCTATCCGAGCATGGTTATTTCTGACAGACAAGAAGTTAAATTTTGACGACCGTGGCTCGAAAACCGGTCGATCGACAGCACGGGGATTTTCGAACATAAGAAATAACTTTCGAAATGTCACTTTTAACTACGAGTTAAATTTAACTCGGCAAATGGTTCACAGCCTAACCCTGCTATCCGAGCATGGTTATTTCTGACAGACAAGAAGTTAAATTTTGACAACCGTGGCTCGAAAACCGGTCGATCGACAGCACGGGGATTTTCGAACATAGAAAATAACTTTCGAAATGTCACTTTTAACCACGAGTTAAATTTATCTCGGCAAATGGTTCACAGCCTTATAGTGTACGGTATTGTCCTGGTCCATCAATTTCTGCTGAATCGAAAGTAAGCGTTCTCGTACAACCGCCAACGGGATGTCATCATCATTGTCGAATTCTGGTTCTGTGTGCAGAACTTTCCATGACTTGGCAATGGAATCAGCCGGTACCTCGTCCCAAGCCTCGGTTACCCAAAACATAGCATCCTTGATGTTGATTCTCTTGACCATGTCATCGAATTCTCCGTGGCGTCCAAGAACATCACGCATAAGCTTTTGCTTGTAGTTGGACTTGACCATCTGGATGACGTTTTGGTCCATTGGCTGCAACAAGGCTGTTGTGTTTGGTGGTAGGAAGATCGTAGAGATTGCTCCATCTGTAGTTCTAAGCTCGTCGGCGCTGCAATGTGCGGAACAGTTGTCCAACACTAAGAGGCAGTTTAGCACCTTCCAAAAATGCCGTTACCTTAGGAACAAACTCCTTAAAAAACCAATCCTTAAATAACTGCCGGGTCATCCAGGCATTTTTTGGGGAGGCATAGTATACGGGCAGCTCATGGACGTTTTGACTTTCCAATCATCATAAGCGGAAGTTTGAACGAACCATCGGCATTTGCGCAAGACATAAACGTCACACGCTCCTTGTTCCCCTTTCTTCCTGGAGCTGATGATTCGTCCATTGTGACGAAGGAGTACATTTGAAATGAAGCCCGCTCTTGTCTGCGTTGAAAATCTGGCTGGGAGATAGGTGCCTAACGATGGTTGCAAAATGTTCAATGTACGAATCAACGGTTGCAGCATTGTTAGAAAGTTTCTCTCCCGTTATTTTCAGAAACCTGATGTTGTGTCGTTTTATGAAATTCACGATGTATCCACGGCTCCCTTTGAACTTCTCGTCGTTGTACAACTTTCCGTACAGTTTCGCTGCCTGAACCATCAACATATCCTGGCTAACAGGGATATGGCATTCACGTTTCTGAAGAAACCAAATGCACAGAGCTTCGTCGAGTAGAGGATATTTAGCCCTTTTGAAGGTTTTCCGTTTGTTTACAGACTATGAATTTATATGAGAACATGTGCATCGCATAAATTTCAAAAGGCTTACCCATCCGAAGTTGACGCTGTGCGATCTGTTCCATGGTTTTCAGCTTGTTCTTCTTTAGGTCGTATGGAGTCGATTCAGCGATGTTATACTTCCGGCTTATTTCGATCATAGGTTGCTCTCAAATGAAGTGTGTTGCTTTTCCTCGTAACGTTTTAAAACAATTCAATATGATTAAGGGACCATAATAAAATGCTTCTGGAGCATACTAGTAACTGTAACATTAGAAAGTAATTTTCGTTCTTTAATTGCAGATTTCAATTTTTTTTGTGATTCGATTATCCGGAGTGAAAAAAAATTCGATACTCCGGATAATCGAGTCCGACCTGTGGTTCACCCGCATAAGCCCCACATGACTACTATTCCGATATCAAATGGATGATGGAACTGCAAGCACACTTCCAGATCCAGAGCAATGCTTTGAATGTGCCACGTATTTAATAAAGCATGACGTTAAACACGATTGTGGAAGTAGTAAGTAGAAGTCCGGAGTGATTTGAGATTTGGGCGTAATTGTATTTGTAAATAAACACGTCAATTGCCAGTTTCTCTTGAATAAAAGCTCAATCTCATAAGCAAAATATACCAAATGATAGAGGAATCATTCCTCTACCTCATAGTGTTATAAGTTTTCGAGATTGAGCGTTGACATGTTTGTTTACAAATGCAATTATGCCCAAATCTCAAATCACTGCGGAAGTATACATCGCCAGTAATCTTCTTCTTCTAAATGAAATTCTATCTGACCCTTATAGACTCCGAAACTACTGAAACGATCGGCGTGAAAATTTGTATGCAGGGATTTTTGGGGCCGGGAAAGGTTCTTATGATGGTTTGAGACCCCTCCCTGCTCTGTAAGGGGGCTCCCATACAAATGAAACAGAAAAATATAGCATGCTTTTTTTTTAATCTGCGCATAAACTCAAGCTACTATTGAATCAATCCCGAGCAAGGTCGGGCACACTCAGCTAGTGTAATATAAAAAAACATCTCACCTGTGTCGATAGATCCTTTCTCAAGGTATGACAGTCGCCATCGTAGTCATCCTCTTGCTCATAGATGTTTCTTTCGCAGCTGCTACTGTCCACAATCTTCCACAATCATCATTAATCGATTCTAGATTCTCATAAAAAGGTCTAATTTTCTACCGTTTAGCTTTACGCATTTACAAAAGCTTAGTAAGATGACAGGCCAACGAAAAAACGGCAGCCGAAAAAAAAAACACTCGGCCATCCGCGAGCACAGCATACTTCGATCTTCGGGAAGTAACCAGTTTTTGAATTGAGCCAAAACCCATCATGCACCACCTCAAATTACATGCGACTTCGAAAATGATTTCAATTGAAGTCACATCACACCACATTATTGGCCCCATCCAGACATGTTCCGGGTGCACCCTGGGTAGTTTTCAGTTTCTGATATTCGTCAAATTCCATTATACATCACCGCAACTCACATGAGAATTAAATAATAATATCATTGGCGGTCATATTGTTAATATTGAGATCCCAGGCTCACATTGGTCCTACCCGGTTATGTTCTGTGTACTTTCGTGTACCAAAACTTGATATGGGTGATTAATTCCTCAGTATTGAATGCCCCCCGTCTACCGCACCTGTAAAGTGTCGATCCTCCGTTCGATCGCCGATACTTCAGGGTTGGAAGTTTCCAAAACGCTTGTGTGAATGAAACAATGTTAAACGAAACACTAGATTTTAGAAGTGTTTATTTCTCAGTATATAATATATATTTACACAACAATAGCAATCTTAATAATCACTTAAAGGAATAACTGCATATTCCATGTTCACTTCAGATGTCTCATTTTTTTTTTTGTAAATTTTCCCTCATTTTATTCGTCGTCAATAATTATCTGCTTTTCACCCAAATATTACTACACTGCTAAAAATTCTTCCGTTTGTTCTCATATAATTTTGCACAAAAACAACGCACAGCTTTCCAACTTAGATGCGGAAATGGTCAAATAGAGGAAAAGGGGTTAAACCAAGCACAAAAACCAACCAACTATAAAAAAAAATACGCTTTGGATTTCGTCCGGTGCGAAGGAAACCCTTTGAAAATTTCTGCTCTGCTAAATTATTAGTTACTTGTCATTTTCCATTAATGAAAAATTTGCTTCTTCAATATATCTTTTGTTTTGTGTTTATCTTTCACCTCTATCAACTAAAAAAAAAGCTTTATCTTGCTTATAGTTCTGTAAGCGATCGACTAATTTCTGTTTATAATTAATCACCTCTTCCTCTGAATCCTGACTGTTATACGAAAAAAAAAATCTGGTTTTTCCTTGTTATCGTTATTTCTTAGCGACTACAGACTATGTACAAAAAAAGGTAATAATATTATTTGTTAATATTAATAATAATATTCATCACAAACACATTTTTTCGTACTGTTCGTACTACTGTTTTCTTTTTTGCTTTGTACCCTTGCGGTGGTGATCCCCGGAAGGCGGCGTAGTGGCGTTGGTAGTTCCTATCCGCCCCAGCACACTGCCCTCCGGAGACCCCACCGGACGGAGTCCTCTGATCCGACACCTTCCGCATGCCTGCCTACCTGCCAATCCTGTCTGCTGGTTTGCGAGCCTGCGGTATACCAAATATGCCTATTGTGTGCATGTGTGTGTGTGTGTGTGTTTTAAGCGAACCATTTCTTCACTGCTGTTAGTTGATCATTCATTCATTGCTGATGCGAACTTGGTTTTAAACATATTACACATTTCAAAAGCGAGAGGATGATGTTATTTGCAGAGTAGATTGTTGTTTTCCTATCACTCGTTTAAAGGTTTTGTTTTTTTTTCTGTTGTTTGTTTTTAACAATCCATGTTTCGACATAATGTTCTACAATTTTTTTGGCTTCCTAGACACAATTTTCAAAATCCTAACCGAACAAAAAAGAAAAACTAATGAATCACTTTGATCAAAAAACAAATTTTGAACAATCGGAATGTGTGTTGATTTGACTGTATAACTTCGGTCTTGTTGGTGGATGGACTTTGCTGGCCTCCTCTGAACAGAAACAATTTTGTGGGCATCAATTGCTGTTGTGTGGTATGTGTGTAGTATGTGTAAGTCGAACTGCGTCAAACACTCAATATGAGCGTGCTGCTGTCGCTGTCGGTCGGTGGAACGAATTCAAATTCTCACGATTCCTGTTCACCACATTCTGGAATATAAAGCCAGGGCTCGCATCTTTTAAACATAAAAGCACACGTACTTGGGTGAATGAGTCTAGTGTTTGCCCGCTACCATCGAAATTTTTAGTTACTCTCTAAGGAAACTAACTCAACCGACTTATAGCGTTCCCTTTAATTAGTACACACATGTTACCTTTTCTCCCACATTGTTCTCTATAGAATCGTTTGTTGTAATACATTAATTTCAATGTAATAAGCAAGCCAATGCGCGCGCGGGACAGCAAGCTTCTCTAAGTTCTGGGGCCTTTCTAAGTGTTCTAAATTCCTGAGGTTCTGATTCTGTTCTCGTGTATGTGTGTTGATCTATCTGCCTGAATCTGTTCTGTGTGTATGTCGATCCCTTCCGTTATCTGATGGTTACTGTACTGCTCGCGCTCAAGGGATTCATTTTCTTATTGTGGCAGCCCAACCTTTTTTTGTTTGCTCTATAAGATCGTTTAGTAAAACAACGGTGGCCACTGGGGATGATGATGCAAATGCCGGTAGTGCTGCTGATAAAGGCAATGCGACCGGTCTCACTCTTTCGGACGATGTTGACTCACGCCACCGGCACCGGAGCTGCCACTGTTGGTACCGTTGGACACCGGTCCATTGCCGTGCTGCTGTTGCTGTTGCTGGTGCTGCTGCAGATGGAGGTGATGCTGCTGCTGGTGATGGGAATGAGACAGCCCACTGCCACCGGCCATACCCAGTTGCTGCTGTTGGTGACTGCTGGCGGAAAGGTCCTGCTGACGGTCGACACTTCGTGGCACTAGGACTACCGTGCCGTCGGCACTTTGCTGTAGGCTCCAGTGCTCCTGAGAGTAGGGATTTCCCTCAGCGTCGCGCAGATTCTGAAGATCGAAAACAAAAAGATGAACAAGGTTATTAATTTGGGGTACAGGAATCATTATCGGTTAACACTCTTGGCCATTTGGAAGCCAACGGACGAATCGATTTATTTGACCCTCTCCGAAGTTCATGAAACTTCGCATAATTGTTGACAAGGTAACCGCCAAAATACTCAATTATGACTATAAAGTACGCATTCTTGAGGGAAAATGGGGCTACCCATTAAATGAGTAAAATTTATACGCATTAATGAGTGCAACTACAGAAATGAATGTTATCTATTTGTGAGTACCAGTTACTCATTAATGCGTATAAATTTTACTCATTTAATGGGTAGTACCATTTTCTCTCGAAAATGCGTACTATATAGTCATTATTGAGCAGTTTGCGGTTACCGTGTAGAGGTAATGAAACTTCTGCTGGGAGTTCAATCATCTTAAAAAATGTTTCAAATGGCGTTTTCGATATTTTCAATAAATCATAGCACGTAAACTGCCTAGAATCGCATATCAGTCCCATATGGAAAAAGTAAGCATTGAGAAAATGATAGTCGAAGTTGTGAAGTGCAATGTCAATGTAAATATTTGAAAAATCATAGAAAATTTATTAATATTTTTTCAACTTATAACCAGTTGTAATGAAGTTTGCATGTTTTGTTATATCAGCAAAAAATATGATTATTCAAAAAGCAGTATTGCAACTGGACCAATGGGTGATCGAATTTCAGGATGGGACTGATATTACTTTGCTTAATGGGACAAACTGACTTGATGTGGTTTTCATATTTTTCATAATCAAAGTCCATAGTTTTACCACGCAATATGAAAGTAGATGTCAATTGATAGTGGATACCGCTGTTATCGTAAAATTATCCATATAGGACTGATATGCGATTTCAGGCAGTATAATAGTTCTTTCAAGTTTTCCAGTACTCGTAATCTTCAACCCAAAACGTTTATGAAAAATAATTCAGTTATCAAAATGAAACTTATTTCAAGGAATTAACCGAGATGAACATCCGCGAAATCCAGAGATGAACCAGCCGAAGGCTGAAAATCTCTTTAATAGATATAAAAAAAAACTTCCGCGAAATGGAGCATTCCACGAGACGGGTTTCCATGAAATGGGTTTTCGCGAAATATCGTGCAGTCATAACTACAATCCCCCATATTCTGCGAGTCACGTGACTCTCTCTCACCGGTGAGGTGAGAATAGTCACCTCGTGTGAGGTGACTCTCCATATGATTCGCATGGAGAGTCACCTCACACGAGGTGACAATTGTCACCTCACCGGTGACTGAGAGTCACGTGACTCGCAGAATAAGGGGGAATATGTTCTGCAATGAATGCAATACTTGAAGTCCACCGGCTTTGGGAGCAAAATTTTTTATTTACTTGACTCGTTTGGTACTTTGCTTGACAGTTCAATTAGTGCTTTTGGCTTCACTCTTTGCTTGACTCTCATAAACATGGGCTCTGATTTAGATTAGAAGATCAGTTTTCGTGCTATAGATTTATTGAGAGGCAAAATACAAAAATCGTTAAACTTTTTGCTATTCGGTGTGGATTTGCTCAGAGTTTTAGAGTTATTAGAGACGCAACTCACCTGAAACACGTGACGGTACAGCGCGGAGAACTTGTCCCGTACTCTCTTCCGCTCGGTTTGGATGATCTCGCGGTCCCGGAGCAGGCGCTCCTTGCGCATCTTCATATCCTTCACTTCATCGGCCAGCGACACAATCTGGTCCAGTTTGCGCTTGCGACAGTTCTGGGCCGCAACCTTGTTCTTACCACGCCGCCGGATGTCCCGGATCAGCGACAGCTGCGTCTCGCTCAGATCATACTTGGACAGACGTTCGTTGAATTCGTCCATTGGCAGGTTGATAATATCCTGCACCGAGATCGGAACCTGGAGCGCGCGGGCACGCTTTTCATCCCGCGTTAGGTGCTCCTCTTCGGATTTCCGGATCCTTTTGTCTCTGGTTTGTGGCTTTGGATTGGCACCGCTGTTGTGCGGTAGCGTGTACGTATGGTTGTGGTGGATCACATCGTGATGATGGCTTCGAGTTACGGATGCCGTGGCCGGATTCTGTCGGGAGAAATCCAACGAGTACGGATATTTCATGTCCACCGAGGAAAGGGGATTATGGGCACTGGTTTGATCTTCTTGTTTGGTAACCGGACCAACGGCTCCTTCCAAGTGACTCAACGAAGCCGGGTTCATGTAATCGAATTCATATTTGATTGGTATACTTGCATTCAACTGGCTCTGTGGATCAACCGCTGGGCCTGCCGACGGAGGATTCGTTCCAGTTGGTAGCGAAGGAATTGTAGTGTTCTGTTCTTGGAAATATCTTTTCGCAAACATGTGGTGCTTCTTTTGGGCTACAGGTGGTTGTCTGGTTCCATCGCCCAGCCGATTATTGCCACTGTAGCTGTAGTCGAATGGTCCGCCGTACTTGTTGTGATATTCCTGGGCGGAATCGCTTCCACCGTCTCCCCATTCTCCGTCGGAAAGCGACGGAACACGTTCCGAACCCATCGACGATACGGCACTGTCACTCGAAGCGTCCAATCGGTCACCGGAAGTGGTACCTCCGGTGGCTCCGTTGGTACCGTGTACTCCGGTAGAACCGCTCAGAGAGGTTTGCATGGCACCGGAAGAAGCGACCGAGGTTGCACCCGACATCAGACCACCGAGATGGGCGGGACCGTTAAGTCCGGCGGCGGCAGCAGCAGCCACTGCGGCAGCACTTCCACCGATGGCACCGCCCAGCACGGACGAATTGCTACTGGTGGCATTGTGGTCCAGCATGCGCATGGTGTACATACCTGGTGAGAGGAGAGATAAGGTATGGTATGAAACAATGTTTGAAATATGCTGATTGGATTAAATATGATTTGATGAGTGAGCATTTGGATAGTGTATTGCAGAATTTACCCACTAGAGGATGCTAATACTAAAATGATCAAGTTGCACTATCTTAGATCTAGATATCCTGCTCTTATGGCAGGTTCGTGTCTTAGGCAAAGTTGTTAAGATGGACTACACCTGTTCTCTGGTTGACAGTTCAGTTCAGTGTACAGTGTACACTCACCATCTTGACTTCTTGACTAGATAGAATGTTGCTGTCTCAAGCAATGTTATTCAGATTAACAAGATTTATTCAATGGTAGACGGTTCAGTTCATAATTAATTCACCAGGCAGCGCTAGTGTGCCATTAAATTCTGCTGGGTGCTGTTACTTGACAACTCGACTAGATAGACGGCTGCTGTCTTTAGCAATGGCGTATAGGTACATAATATTCATTAAAAGGTGGACATCTCAGTTCGCTAGTGGTAATGTATAATTGAATCTAGGGGCGTCTCACTTTTGGAGTACAGATTAAATATGCATTTAATTAAAAAGAAATGCATTTAATTTCCATCGTTTGCAACAACCATTCTGTGGGATGTGAATATCAAAACAAAGCATGCGCTTTTTTGGTGACACCTCTACATGCATCGATGCGCAGATAAACAAACACAACAGGAAAAGAAAACTCGTCGCTCTGCACGATTTCGGTGGAGTAGAGAATTCACGAGAAATTCCCTACAACCTCCTCCGGCAGCAACGAAAATCTCCAACGAAATCCGGCAGAAGCTCCCGAATTTGGTACCTCCGCTGGCAGAATTGGAAACATCCATCGATATTGGTTCCTCCGTTGCGAACGCGAGAAAATGGCATCGAAATTTCTCATTTTTTTGGATCATACTTTATGTAATTTTAATTTATTTATTTGTCAACATCAACAGGCTCAATGTAGCCCCAATGTAATTCATTTAGCCAAACCGAGTCAAACGTAATCCGTAACCTTTATCAAGACAAACAAAAATCCTAGAACCTTCGTTGGCAGCATGTAAAATCTTCGCCGAAATCATGCAGATCCTCATCCGCCGAGAAGGCAAGGAAAATCCGTTGGAATTTCCAAGAATCCAAAATCACAGAAATCACGTGGAACCTCGTCCGCCAAGAACGCGAGAAAATGCCGTCGATATTCCCTGGAACTTCTGTCAGCAGCATCCAATCTCTTCACTGGTATCGTGCAGAACCTCCTTCGCCGACAATGCGGGGAAACTCCGTCGAAAGTCTCTGGGAGCCTCCGTTGGCAACATCTGAATTTTCGAGGGAAGTTTCGACGGAGTTTTAACCTGTTAATGGCGGCGAGGGTTCCGGTAAATTTCAGTGAAGATTTTCGGTGCTGCCAACGGAGTTTCCAGTGAGTTTCAACGGAGTTTTCTCGCGTTTTCGGTGGAGGAGGTTCTGCACGATTCCGGTGGAGATTTCTGATGGTCGAGGTTCTGAAATAATTTTGCCGAGTCAGGAGTGTGGATTTGACCGAAACGAGGTGAACAACAAAACACACAAAACTGATGATTTTTCACTTCTTACATTCGCTTGAAAATGAGCCGGTCTCTATTCTGACGGCAGGTGACAGCAGACGACATTGAGTTATCTTACTGAGAGCGCTTCTTATTTGCCTTTAGCCTTTCCAATATCTTTAGCAATGATAAACGAGTGGTAAAAACGGAGGTCTAATATATCTTATATTTTTTTAAACATATTTATTACTTCCAACGATCAAGTAAATTTTACCCATCCAGGAGAAAATGAATCGCAATTAAGAACCAACGCAACGGTATGATTTGGCAGATTGCTTTCTCTTGTTGTTATTCTTCTTCTTCTTCTCACTTCTCCGTAAACGCACCGGCTAAAATTGAAGCTCTCGAGTAAAAATATGGACGACTGTCACACGCAAAAAGCCGGCGCCGGTGGTGTAGTGGTGAGCGTGACTGCTTTCTAACACCCCGATGGGTCTGGGTTCAATCCCAGCCGAGGTCGGTGGGATTTTTCTGAGGCATAAAAATTTCTGGTCACGTCTTCCTTCGGAAGGGAAGTAAAGCCGTTGGTCCCGGCCCATGTGTGTTGAATGGGTGCGATATCCTACGCAGGTGTGGAAGCAGCCTTCCTGCACATTCGATTGCCGTCAATGGATGGCAATCGATGTCCGTCGGTGATTGGCACTAGATTGCGGAACAGAGACCGACGTTAAATAAAGGAAAGAAGTCACACGCAAAACTGAAAAAAAAGTTGTTCCAATCGAGCTAAGCAGTGCATTTTGACGATTCGATTGGAACTACTTTTGACATACCTTCATACTTTTACTTAGAGGAGTTTACTTAAAATAGATCAAGTTGGCCTGGCATTTATTTTACGCTCAACCGTATTAAATCGTATTCGCGTTGGCGGCATTGACTCTTCACACCAGTATTGGCAAAATCATCAATCAAATTATATTTTTCCGCTCTCATACACTCTCAATATCACGTGTGATATTGGAACAAAATATCATGCTTGATATTGATTTAACAATCTCCTTTGATATTCCGAGACTATTGCACATCGTTTTTTTAGAAAGAGAAAGTATAGTTTGCTATCTCTTTTTACTGTTCACCGATGGCAGACACGAAGTGACTGCTGCCAGCCGTTATGGAAGTTTCGGTTGCGTTCGGGTGTAAAGCAAAAATCATTAAACTGAATCTCACCACAGTTTGTTGAGATTTGCAGCTGGTGAGTTTTGTTAGCTGGATGTTATTCCGAGCTGCGATATCACAGCTTGCAAAATCAACCGCAGCTGTATGGTTGTTGATTTTTGTCTACGAAAATCAAACGTGATCTTGGGCATTGGTGAGATTTGATATTTTTATATTTTCTCAACACTGCTTCACATATGGGTGATATGGGATTATTCAGTGAAGCGAAAGAGGAGCAGTCTGCCATTTTTCACGCACAAAATGACAATTGTTTATTGGATTTTCTATTGGCTTTGAGAGATACAGTAACGCCAATTGCAAGTTTTCAACGCCAAATGGGAGATGAGAAAGCATGTTCGTTGGTTTTTGGGGAGATATATTTTCGATATTACACATGAGAGAGATAATGAATTATCGGTGAAAATTCGAGTAAATTTTAAAATTCTTAAACTTCTTGACCTAATCTAAAAGTTCAACAGTCTGTTTGGATATCATTAAAATATGAAATTGGAATTCATATTTAATGTTTAAGTCGATAGTCAAGAAGAGTATTTTTTTTAAAAGATTTCTTGTTTTAAAAATTGGCACACGATTATATCCAAAAATCTTTTAATTAGATCACAATTAAGCGTAAACTTTGATCAATTTTATTGCAACGGCTTTATTTCAAATTATAGGCAAAATATAATATTAAATTGAAGGTCGAGCAGGTATCAAGGGGTACACGGAGAAAAAGACTACCCAAAATTTGAGTTCTTTTTACTTAATACACTGGAGTCGCTTTTTACGCGGGGGATATGTGCCGCGTAAAATAAAAACCGCGTAAGAAAAAACTACCGAGATTTTGATTTTTCACATGTTTAAATATTTTTTATAAATCGGATTTTGATGCCATTCGTTATTATAGCATGCTATGGTCCATATGGACATATTTTAAAAATTTCTGTATTTACACCAAAAATTGTGATTTTTTTAAAAGTATGCCATTCGATTACCTATAGTTTGAAACGGATAATGTGATTGGAATAAAGTCGATAGGTCGTATCGTTGTCGAGAAATCGTTAAAAACGTATCGCGTAAATTGCGACTCAGCGGCACTAACCGTGTTAAAAAACCGTGTAAAAAAAACCGCGTAAAAAAAAACCGCGTAAAAAGCGACTCCAGTGTATTGAGTTCAGCCTCTCACTTGCACTCTTTATTATTGATAAAAAAAGGAACGCGAGTTTCGACCTAACAATATAGTTCAGCCTAATAAGTAACTTTTGAGTAAATTGCATGTTCTCAAATTTAAGAGAATTAAACTTAATATTGGGTAGAATATACTTAAGAGTAAGTATTATTTTTTGCTGATGTTAAATGGAAACTACTATATGCGATTTACTCAAATTTGGGTTATTAGGCTGAACCCCGGAATTGAGGTAAAAGTACTTAATTTTGGGTAGTTTTTCATGTCCGTGTAGGTCACTCTGCACACAAATCTTGGGTCATCTTTTTTGTCAGTGTGCCGCAGGTGTGCCGATCATACATAACAAATCGCTGTCAATTTCATTTTGACAGATCTAATTCATAAATTTTTTAGTTTGTTCAGAGGAAAATAATAAACAACTTTACACAGCGATGCACTCGCTAGCGTGCGTGCGTTAAATGTCACTAATCTCTATAGAGCAAGTTGCGATTGTTTGTAAAATACTCAACCCGGCAATCCGGCATTTCTCCCATAACTGTGGATGTGGTTACTATTATTATTATTATTATTTAACTTTATTAAAGAGGCTTTCAGCCTTGGGCTGGTTCGCCTCCACTATGTGGATACGTCTATTAACGTCTCTTTAAACTGTTCCCCTACAAGAGGAGAATTTAGTTCATTCGAGACGGGTTTTAAACTGCAGCTGTTTCATCATTGTGTGTCCCCCGTTTAGGTCGGTCGTCCTCCCTCGTGTACCTTGGTCTTTAGGACCTTTAGGACTGCCTCTTGTCGAATGAAGTGGCATGACTACCAGTCATTTTCTTTCTAATGCCACTTCAACTTACTCATGCTTATATCATATCGTATAAGTCTACCGCCCTCAGGAAGTTGAGTACAGTTTGCTCTGTACTCTTGTCGTTGAACAATACCTCACGGATTGAACCAACGACACCCATATCTTCCCTTAATTGTGCTCTCGCCGGGCACTCCACCAATAGATGATTTACATCTAATACCGCACCGCATCCCTGGCAGTAGGCAACACTGCCGCTAAATCGAGGTCCATGAGTG